TGCAAGGGGGCGAAGGTGGACCCACAAGACCCTTGAGGTCCAGCCTTGGAACAGACACGACCATGACACCTGCCATGTTCTAGTGTGCAAAGAAAGTCACGTGGCCAAAGGGCAGGAAGATAGACCCCCGCTGTGGGAGGAGGGCGTCCCAGTGCGGAGGGCCTGGGTCCTGGCATGGGGGGAATTTGTGGCCATATTTTGCAATCACAGACTGTATCATTGGGATTTTGCTGGACTCACTTACAAAGGTTGGAATCAGGGCCAAAAACAGCCCAAAATTACCCGCGTAAACCTACCCTCGGAAACCCCTGAAGTTGCCTGTGATGTGCAGGAGCTCTGAGCCACTGAAGCCGTGAGTCTCTGAGCCAGACCAAATGGGGGACAGGGCTTGTCCAGGCATCGCAGCTTTGCGGCGAGGGGGGGACCCGCAGTCCCAGCTGGGAGTGGAGGGGTCTAAGCTGACTGGCTCACCGACTCCGTTCTGAGTTTCCCTTCAGCCTCTGGGGCTGGGCTGCCCAGGGCAGAGGCCACTGGCCATAGACGGCTGTTTAAATTTCAACTGATGGAAATTAAATTTTGGAAAATTCAGCTCCCTGACTAGCTCCATTCCCAGTGCTCAGTGGCCACACGGCTAAGACGTGGGGAACCAGGAGTCAGCTGGCCCCAGCGCAGCCCCTGTCACCCAGCCCCTAGGTCACGGTCACCCAAGCCCAGTGCTGGCTTTTTGGGACTCAGAAGTGACTCAGCCCCGCCCCTGTCACTGCCCTGGAGAGGCTCTGGATCTGCTGGGGCAGGCAGGCGGGAAACACACGGTGACAGAGTGAACCGGGCGGCCAGAACCCCGGAGGCTTGCTTCAGTGGGAGTCCTAGAGCCTCACCCTCGCCCCCTCGGGCCCTGTCCTCACCCCGCGAAGCCAGGGGGCTCCATGTGCGCCTCCCAGGCTTTTCCAGTAAAGGGAGGGTGCCTTTGCATCACCCAAAATTTTAAGAAACCTCCCCCGCGCGCCCCCCCCCGCACACCAGGGTTGGCGTCCGTGACTGAGAGTTACAGTGAGCCACTAAGAACCCATTTTACATGAATTTTATAAATTTTATTCCTCGCTCAGCATCTGTTTTGGTTTGAAAGATGCCAGTGTGTGAAACGTGGTATTTACTTGGTCTACCAGCCGTGTTGGGTGGGCATATGGGATGCAAGAGCCCCGAAAATAATTCGGGGGCTTCCAGCTTGGGAATCGCTGAAATCTCCGGGAGCGGGAGGCCCTGGGCAGCTCCTGGGTGGTGGCGTGGAGGCCACCTTGAAGGGTCTCCAGGTGGCAGCTCTTTTGGTTTTTGTGGTGGGAGGGGAGCCAGGTGCCCCCTTAGCATCCTAGCCCCCTCCCCATCCTTGACTCCCTGCACTACCATAGCCGGCAGGTACACTCCCCCCCCCCCCCCCCGCTCTTGTTCGTTCCAGTCTGAGGTATTTGCGCAGCCCTGCCCTCCAGGCCACAAGCCCCAGGGTTCAAGAGCCATGGGTTCAAGAGCCATGACCCCCTCTGCTGCATGGGGACTGAGATCATCTGGGGAACAGGGATGGTTCGGATACAAATCCCTGCCCTCCAGGGTTTCCACATCCCCTCCCTCTCCTGCAGGACCCCCTCCCCCACCCAACTTCCGGCATCACCAGGGCGGGGATCTGTGCATGCCTGGCTCACGGCTGACCCCTTGCACATAGTAGGCACTCAGTAAATACTGCTGGATGGATGGATGCTGGCTGTGGCGCACACAGGCACATGTCCCGACCCCATCCCCCAGGCTCTGGCTGTGTCTTCTCTTTGGGGGCCCCCCAGACATGTGATGAGCAGGGACACACCCTATGGGAGGTGTGTTCACAACTAGATCAGTGCCTTTTCTCCTTCTGGGATCCGTGGATTTACTCCCAGGGGTATTCAAGTTCCACTTGAGAATATTTGTATGTGTGGAGCCTTTAAGAGTTGTGAGAGTTATTCTGTAATCATTTCAATCTTGAAGAAGACCTGCAAGGATAAAAAAAATTCTCCCACGTACCCTTCACCCAGATTCATCATAAGTAACATTTCACCAAATTTCACTGTCTCACAGTGGCATTTTTTTCTCCCAGAACTATTTGAGAGGTCATGGCAAACACGCAACCTGATGACTTTTACTCCTAATTCTTCAGCATAGATTTCCTAAGAGCGAGGACATTCTCTTACATAACCACGATCCAGGAGGCAAATTCAGGAAACCTAATATGGACACAATTCTGGGATCTAATAAGCAGTTTAAGTCGTATTTCACCAATTATCCCAATAATGTCCTTTAGGCAAGTTTTTCCCTCAATCTGGGATCTCACATTGCATTTCATCGCCATATGTTTACTTGAAGCTTTATCAAGGTATAATTTATGTACCATAAAATTCACTCGATTTAAGTGTATGATTGAATGGTTATTAGTGTATTTACAGAGCTGTGTAACTGTCACCACAGTTTTACTTGAAATCATTTCAAATCACCTTGGAAAGAAACCGTCACTCTCTTGTCCCATGCCTGGCTCCCAGCAGCCACTAAGCTACTTTCTGTCTGTAAATTTGCCTTTCTGAGCATTTCATATACATGGAATCATCCAGTACGTGACCTTTCGTGTCTGGCTTCTTTTACTTAGCATCCTGTTTTCAGGGCTCAGCCGTGCCATAGCAGGTGTCTGAATTTCATCCCTTTTCATTGCTGAATAATATTCTGTTGTACAGACGGACCGTATTTAGTTTATCTATTGTCCTAGGTTGATGGACATTTACGTTGTTTCCCAGTTGATGGATATTTGGGTTGTTTCCACTTTTTGACTATTACAAATAATACTGCTAGGAATATTCACATATGTATTCATTTTATTTTATTTTTTCTTGAAGTATGGTTGATTTGCAATGTTAGTTTCAGGTGTACAGCAAAGCAGTTCAGTTATACAGATACATACATATTTTTTTCAGATTCTTTTCCACTGTATGTTATTACAAGAAATTAAATGTACTTCACTGTGTTCTTCAGTAGGTCCTTATTGTTTATCTATTTTATACATAGTAATGTGGATCTGTTAATCCCAAATGCCTAATTTATCCCTCCCACACACATACGTTTTTATGTGGATGTATATTTCCGTTTCTCTTGAATAGACACCCAGGAGTGGAATTGCCAGGTCATAGAGTAACTCTGTGTTTAACTTTGAGAGAAACACCCAACTGTTTCCCAAAGTGACCTCACCGTTTTCCATTCCCAGCAGCACTGTGTGAGGGTTCCAGTTTCTCCACATCCTTTCAACACCTGTTATTGTCTGTCATTTTTTTCTAAGCTTTGAGATTCTTTTGTGGTAATAAAGATGTGTGTTTAAAAATAATCCCTAAAACAGAAATTTTAATTTGTGCCCAATACATTGATTTTTTTTAAACTGAAGTATAGTTGATTTACAATGTTGTGTTAATCTCTGGTGCACAGCATAGTGATTCAGTTGTATGTTCCTTTTTACATTCTTTTTCATTGTAGGTTATTACAAGATACTGAATATAGTTCGCCGTGCTGTGCAGTAGGACCTTGTTGTTAATCTGTTTTTTGTATGGTAGTGTGTATCAGCTGATACTCTGCTCGCAGTTTGTCCCTCCCCACCCCCTCTGCCCTCTGGTAACCATAGTCTGTTTTCTATGTCAGTGAGTCCGTCTCCGTTTTGTAAATAAGTTCACTTGCGTCCCTTTGTTTTCCACTCCAGCCGTCCCAGCGGGTGTGAGGCGGCACCTCACTGTGGCTGAGCTGCGGCCCCCTGACGGCTAATGACGCTCAGCGTCTTCCCAGGTGCTCACTGGCCATTTGTGTGTATCTCCTTTGGTGAAGTGTCTATTCAAAACTTTTGCCCATTTTCAAATTGTATTGTTTTCTTACTATAAAGTCGTAAGAGTTCTTTTTATATTCTAAATACAAGTCTCTTTTTGATTTCGTGATTTGCAAATATTTCCTTCCAGTCCGTGGCTTTTCATTTTCTTGTGTCTTTTGAAGTGAAGTGCAAAAGTTTTGAACTTTGCTGAAGTCAAGTTCATCATTTTTTCTTTTTTTCTCGTGTCTTTGGTGTCATATCTAAGAACCACTGCTTAATTCAAGGTCAGAAAGATTTACTTCTGTTTTCTTCTAAGAGTTCTAGTTTTAACTCTCATATTCAGATCTTTGTATGATAGGAAGGAAGGATCCAAAACGCGGGCCTTTCTGTGTGGATAACCAGTTGTCCCAGCACTCCTCATTGAGGAAACTATTCTTTCCAATGAATTGTCTTGCCAGAAATCATTTGACTATGATACAATTTTTTTTAATTGAAGTATAGTCAGTTTACAATGCTGTGTTAGTTTCTGGTGGACAGCATAACGATTCAGTTGTATGTATACATGTATATATACTCCTTTTCATACTCTTTTTCATACTCGGCTGTTACAAAGTATTGAATATAGTTCCCTGTGCTCTACAGCAGGACCTTGTTGCTTATCTGTTTTCTGTATAGTAGTGTGTATCTGCAAATCCTGAACTCCCAATTTATCCCTTTACCCTTCTTCCCCCCGGTAACAGTAAGTTTCTTTTCTATGTCTTTGAGTCTTTTTCTGTTTCGTAAATAAGTTCATTTGTGTCCATTTTTTTTTAGATTCTACATATAAATGGTATCATATGGTATTTTCCTTTCTCTTTCCGGCTTACTTCACTTAGTGTGATAATCTAAGTATGACAATCTCCAGGTCATCCATGTTGCTGCAAGTGGCATTATTTCATTCTTTTTTAATGGCTGAGTAGTAGTCCATTGTATACATATACCACAGCTTCTTTATCCAGTCATCTGTCGATTTAGGTTGTTTCCATGTCTTGGCTATTGTAAATAATGCTACTGTGAACATTGGGGTGCATGTATCTTTTCAAATTAGAGTTTTCGTATTTTCTGCATATATGCCTGGGAGTGGGATTGCTGGATCATATGGTAGCTCTATTTTTAGTTTTTTAAGGAACCTCCATACTGTCCTCCATAATGGCTGTACCAAACTGCATTCCCACCAACATTCCCACTATCCCTCAATAGTTTTTTAGATGTTATTTTCATGAAGATGATACCCCCATCCCATTTTAGCAGACATGTGTTCCAGGTCACCTGGACGACTCTCTGAAAGCTGAGTTCTGCCACCCAGTTTCTGCAGCTGCCTTTTCTGTGTGTTTATGCACATGGGGTTATCGGGGGTCCTCCAAAGTGGCAGCATTTAATTTAGGCTGCAGTGAGCCTTAAAGTGGGGTCTGATGAATGTTACAAACTGCTTTCTTAGGGGTTCACCTGTTCCTGAGTTTGAGAAACTCTTACTGTAGAGCCGTCTCTCAGATGGGAAGGTAGAGGCCTACGTAGGGAAAGTCACATGTCCAAAGCCAGGCCTCTGTGAGTACCCACACGCAAGCCTGGAGGCTGCGTGGAGTAAATCAGAGCGACTAGGTAGTTGCTAACCCCCCCACCCCCCACCCAGGTTTTCTCACCTGTAACGTGGAGGAAGCATCACCCATCTCTGAAAAGTGTAGGCGGAGAGCCCAGCTCGGCACCTGCAGACACAGCAGGGCACGACGTGTGCAGGCCATGTTTCTCACGAGCTTGGGGCTGCCCCACCCCCGGCCCTGCCTCCCGCTGCCCCTCTCCTGCAGCACCTCCTCTCCCCAACACAGAAGCCCTGTGGCCAGCTCCAGGCTCCAGCCTTCCCTCTGCCTCACGCGCCTCACCTGTTCCCCCTGCTTAGCCATTTCCTGGGCCCTGAGCTGATGCTGGCAAAACAGAGATGATTCCAGCTCCACCCCTGCCCTTGGGACCCCTGGACAGGGAACAGACTCATTAGCTGACGATTAAAGAACAGCATGGCAGTGGTTATTTTTATTATTAACAGCTAACATTTACTGAGTTTCTGCACTGTGCCTAGTTCTGGTCTAAGCACTGTCTCAGGGTGTACAGGGCATTGTGGGAGCCAGGATGTCTCGAGGAGGTGACATTTTTGCAGCTCAGTCTAAAGGGTGGGTTTGGACTTCAGCTAACTAGCAAAAGGCATTCATTAGGAGTTTTTGCCACTTTGGTGGGTGAAATGGTATCTCACCCTTACGATGTGTGTCTCTTTATAAGTAAAGTTACTTTTTTTGTAGGTTTCTAGGCCATTTGTTTTCTTTTTCTCTGAACTACCTAGTTAGAGCAACTGGATACTTTTATTTTGAGTTCATGTTTTTTTCTTACTGATTTGTTAGAACTCTTTATATATTGAGAAATGGAGACAATAGTATGTGCAAATACACAGTGTTGTGAAACTGCATGGTATGCTCGAAAGACATTAAGTATAGCTTGACTTTGGGGCAACAGCTGAAGACGGAGCGAGGCAGGGAGGCAGAAGCTAGTTCTGATATCAAACTGAGGAGCTTAGACTGTCCTGCAGGTTATGGGGCAGCATAGAAGGGTTCTGAGCAGGGAAGGGGAGTGATGGAAAATGCTTTTTTTTTTTTCTCTTTTTGTGGGGAGATTATTAGGTTCATTTATTTATTTATTTTCTCAATGGAGGCACTGGGGATTGAACCCAGGACCTCGTGTGTGCTAAGTACGTGCACTACCCCTGAGCTCTACCCTCCCTGCCACCAAAAAATGTATTTTTGAAAGTTGCTTTAAATAAGGGACAGTAGTGGGTGGTGGAAGGGCTGGAAGGATAGAGGCCAGAAAATATAGCACCTTGAATGTCCAGCCAGAGAGTGTCTCCTTGGTTTGGTGGGCACTGGGGAGCCACAGAACATTCTGGGTAGTGACTGGGGGTGGGCCAGAGAGGCGGTGGGGAGGGAGCGGGATTGTGGGCAGGGCTGATCCCTGGGTGGGGTGAGTGGTCCGGTTCCCTGCACGAGGCTTGGCCCACGCTGACATCTCAGCCCACACGGGTGCACGGTGCTGTGTCTCCCACCCAGACGGGAGCTTTGCAGGGGTGATCTGGAGAGGAAGTATGAAGCAAGAGTTCCCAGGCAGGGCACTGTGAGTGGGAGAAGGCGCTGGAAAGAGCGCAGAAGTTGTGCAAGCCCCCAGCCTCCGCTCACCACCAGCTGAGTACCCCCACCTCCCAGCTGCCAATTCATGTCAGGTCAGCTCTTCCAGCGAGGAGGGTCTGGGGCTGGGAGGGCGTCAGTGCTGCAAGGAGACTTGGCACCTGCCTTATCTCAGCCTTCCTGCCTGCCAGGTCAGGGGCACCTTGAGGCTTGGAGGGAAATCAGCCTCCATGAGGGCATCCAGGAGTCACCCCAGCCAGTGTCAGAGCAGGTCCTAGATGCCAGCCCCTACTCCCTGTCCAGTCTCAGAAATGATTCTTTAAAAAAAAAAAAGGCGATACATGCACAGAGCACAAAAAATATTTAAATGGAACATCTCTGTGAAAAGCCAGTCAGTCTCCTTTGCACTGTGGCCCCCAGTTCCCCACACCCTTCCCCACGGCACCGCTATACCAGTTTCTTAAGCTTTGTCAGAGGTAATACAGGCACAAACCAGCCTGCACCTTGTACCCCCTCTTTTTAACCTAAAAAGTACCACCCATATCCTGTACTGCACCTTGCCTTTTCCACTACCCAAAATATCTTGGAAATTGTCCCTCATCAGTCATGCACAGAGGCTCCAGCCTTTTGAGGGCTGCATAGGTTTTCCCTGTACTGATGGCTCGTAGTGTTCACCTGATGAACAACTCCTCACTGGCGTGCTTTAGGTAGTGGGGAGGAGACCCCAAAAATTTGTATTCGCTTTAAAGACAGTCACCTTCAGCGGGGAGGGTGGAGTTCAGGGGCAGATCACGTGCCTAGCATGCACGAGGTCCTGGTTCAATCCCCAGCACCTCCGTTAAACAAACAAACCTAATCACTCCCCAAAACAAAGTAAAGACAGTTACTTTCATCACATCTCATTTGTAACTTTATGAGTTTACAGATGTTCACTAAACTTACTGTGGCGATCATTCTGCAGTACGTACAGATACCAGAGCATGATGTTGTACACCTGAAATGAGTACAAAGTTATATGTCAGTTATATCTCAATAAAACTGGAGGCAAAAAGAGAAAAAAATCAAGACAGTGCTTTCATTTTTTAAAGGCATGAAAAGGAAAAGATTGAATTGGCCCCTGAGGCTGTGCCTGTGTCCAGAAAACCCCTGGTGACTTTTTCCAAATCAGCTAATCCTCAGAAGAGTTAAAGCTCCTCCCACACCCATTCCACACACCCCACCATCCTCCCAAAAGGTAACCATCCGTAACAGGTTGTGGGTGTGTGTATCCTTTGGGGAAAAAAATAAGGAAATTCCAGTCCACATCTATGTATGACCTTTTGAAATGTATGCAGAAGGGATGGCAACTCACACAGTCCTCCGTCCCCTGCGTTTTTCAGCAGAAACGCTTCCTGGAGATCTTACTGCGAAGCCCCAGCCCGTGGAGGTGTCTTCGTGCCGGCTCTCCCCCGACCACTGCTGGCCACCAAAGGTGCTTCTCTTCTCTGTTTGCTCACTCTTAGACAGAAGGCCGTGGGCACTGCCCTGGTGTTTTCACACCCGTGTGCTGTCCAGCTTTGCAGGTCACCCTTCACGAAAGGTCGCGCCACCTTGCACCTGCCCGGCCGGTGCATTGGACGTAGTGGGTTCCTCCCACCTTCAGCAGCAGAAGCGTCATCACAGTGGTTCATTCTTACCAGCTCGGCAGACATAACAAAATGACACGCATGTTGTGGTTGGGTGTGTATTTCTTTAATATGCATTTAATTACAAGGGAGATTGAGTGTCTTTCCACGAATGGCTTGTTCCTAGCCTCTGCTCTTTGTTCTCATTGGCTCGCCATCTGTTTCCTATCGATCTGAGAGAGCTGTGCGTCAGGGAAATCGGCTGTCACTTCAATGCCCTCAGTTAACTTGTCCTATGCGCTGCAGGTGCCGTTTTGAAGTTTACCATTGGCCTTTTTTTTTTTTTACTTTGTGGCATGTTTTACTCCATTTAGAGAGCTTTAATTTCTATAGTGTTAAATTCATCAGTCTTTCCTTCATGGCTTCTGGGAATGCAAATATTTATACCGTGCATTTTGCACAGCCTTTTCGCACATTATCTCCGTTGGTCCTCGGAGCAGCCTTGGAAGGGAGGCGGTGCGGGGAGCTCTAGCGTCGTTCTGTTTTACAGATGAATTCAAGTGAGGCTCAGAAAGGGGGTGGGACTTACCCAGGCTGAGCAGATTCTAAAACCCTGGCCCTTCTCACCTCCCTCAGCTCCCTTCCCACCAGCCAGGTGACTCACTCCTGATATTGAGAACAGACGACATAGCTTCTCTGGGCATCTTGAATTATTAAAACTAGAAGAATCTTTTCTTTGAGTGCTCTTTTTAAAAAAAAGCTTTTGAAATTATACAGTTCATAATGTTTAACAACAAAACCTCCAACAATACAGGAGAGTGGAGCACGAGGTTGGAGGTGGGGCGCATGCCTTGCCCTGGAAACCCATCTCCAAGGGTTGTCCTGTTGGCCGTGAGCGCCAGTAAGGGGCCACGAGGGTGTGGAAGACCCACCAGGAGCCGGAGCAATCCGTGTGCGTCTCTGTCTGGCGCCAGGGCCTTGTCTATCCCAGGAACACCTTAGATGTGCACAAATGCTGCAAGAGATGGAGGTGACCAGACTCTCCACTTAGCCTCTGCAGCCTCACAAGCCCGTGTTCAGATCCCAGCTCAGCCACTTAGTTAGCAGCTGGGGTGGGGTTGTGGTTGACTTACCTTCTCCGTGTTGAGGTGTCCTTGTCTGTGAAACTGGGACAATAGCTTCCAAGTCATTTGTTTGAGGTGTCCAGCACAGAGCGCCAAACTAAATGCCCACCTCTCCCCTCTGATCTGCCGGTTCCTTCCGGGGTCCACTGCCTACTCCCACCTGGCTCCGGTATCCAGGGTCATGGGACATCAGAGCTGAAAATCAGGCTCCTTTCCTCTCCAGAAGCCTGGAGAGGGGAAGTGCCTTGCCCAAGGTCACACAGCCCACGGGTGGCAGGGCGGGCAGGGACTCCAGTCTCCTGACTCATTACATCATTCGCCCGGCCTCCTCTCTGCTGGACCACTGCAGCCCGCGCCTCCGGCCTCCTGTCTCACCCCTTCTGGCCACCAGGGGGCGCGGCCTAAGTCCAGCTCCGACTGCTGGCGCCCTTGCTCTAACCTGGTCGGGGGCTCCACGCTGCCTACGAAAGGAGCCTTCCTCAATCTGGTGTTCAAGGGCCCTACACACCGGGCAAAGCGCCTTTCCATGCTTGCTTTTCCCTTGGGTACAGTCCTGAAGCACCCTCTCTTTCCTGCCCCTTCCAGGCCCGGCCTCTCCTGCCTGCGCCACTTCTTCCCCACGGATTGAGTCCCCGTCCAGTGCCGTGCCACCCCACTGTCCGCGACAAGTGCCAGCTCACTGAGGCTTGTCCCCAGCATTCAGTTGGTGCTCAGTCAATGTTTGCTGTGGGGTAAGGGGCGCCGACGGCAGGCCCGCACCCTCCTCCCCAAACTGCCGGGAGCGCGCGTCCTGGAGGGGACATAGAGCTCCCGCCCCAGGCGCCTCCCCACCCCGCCACGCTGTGCGACTCTGGGCTAATGTCTGCCCCTCTCTGGGCCTTAGTCGTCTCACCCGAGAACTGGGGAGGCTTCGGGGAGGGGGCTGGGCATGGCGGGCGGGGACTGCAGTCCTCCTTGGGAGGGGCCAGGGACCGACCTGCAGCTGCGCCTACTAGGTGTTTATCTCTGGGGTCTTGGGGAGTCTGAGCGAAAGGCCGGGGCCACAGCGCCCCTGCACCGCGCCCAGGCTGTGCGAACCCGGCGCCCCGGCCCGTCCCCGCAGCGGCCCCACCGACCTGGGCGCCCTCAACTGGCCCGGGCTCGGGTGACGTCGGCGGCCGGGGCGGCACCGGTTCCCCCGCCCCCACACCCCGTCCGGGGAAACTGAGGCCGGGCGCCGACTGGCCGCGCACGCCAAGGTCACGGCGCGCGCGGAGGCCGCCGGCCGGCGGCGCTCGGGCTCAGGCT